TTTTCCCAAGCCTTGTGTGCATTGGTACAACTTCTGACACAACAGAGCCCTAATTCTGCCTATCATCCACATTAATATAAATAAATAGTTATTAATCAAGACAGCTATCATTAATTTACATATACAGATGCATTAGTTTCTCTAACAAGCACAGTGTTTTCTAGTTCTTTTGCTTCTAAGTGAAGTACTAAGTTCACTTTGGTTTGTAGGACATGAATCTTGGTTTAATTGGTAACTTTGTAATCTCTAACATTCAGAAATCTGGAACTATCCCCAACAGACATCAGGGGAAAGAACTCTTAATTAATGCTTAACTCCAGACACTGGAGTTTTTCATCCAGCTTTCTCCCCTTTATCAAGTTATCTTGCATCTATTTTCAGATGCTAAGTAGGTTCTTCAGTTTGTAAACAGTTTTTCACTGCTGGGAAAAAAAAATCATACTTGAAAAAAATTTCATGAGTTTTTGTGTTTAAATCCTTGTTTTTTCCAGCTTCAAAAATGTAAATATCACAAAAATGAGAAACTAAGTGTATTGATTAGACAGGATTATTTAGGATATTGAATTAATGCATCACTTTTATTCTCATCTTTATTTTGGTACGGAGTTCTTCAAAGAGGTGTTTAAAATATATATGTTCATAAAGTTGTGGTACCACAGATTTTTAGAAGAAAAGTGACAAATGACAAAGCTACAGATGTTTGCTTAGTTGTTTTTCAGGGTGGTAGTTGTTTTTCAGGGTGGTTTTGTATTTTGCTGCTATTTTGGAAAGACCAAGGAAAAAACATGTTGACATTGCTGTCTGGCACAAAGCAGTTGGGACTGATCGAGCAGTGCCCTTTGTAGACAGTCAAGTATTGCCAGAGTGAGATAATCAGAGTACCTCAATCAAGTACCTCAGGCCTATCTTTGCAATTATAGTGAACTTCTGTTCCAGAAATTAGCTTACTTTCCCTACTTCCTCCCTCTTTGCCCCTCACCTTGTTTGTTTGTTAGTTTTAAAATTAACCTAGGCTAAAACTGATTGAATGCAGTCAAGAGACTTCTAATAAAATTCTCCTAATGGTTAAATGTTTCTTTCTATGGTGCTGGTTTAAGATGAGGCTTTTATACTTTTTTTTTTTTTTTCCACTGCCAAATCAAGTGGGATTCTAGCATGGTGTATCAATTTTTAAAATTTTTTTTGGCTCTAAATACATATTTATAGGGTCTATTTCCATAAAAAAATAAAGCTAATTTCTGACCAGCCTACCATATATATTTATGTGAATTTTGCTGACAAACAATAATGTTTTATAAATGATTTCCTCATGGCAATTCATTTGAGAGACCTACAAAATCACTCAAGACTTTAATCTGAGCAGAAAAGCATTTAGCTGAAGAAAAAGTATGTTTTATGTAAAATGATACAAGGAACTTGGAAGTAGAGGGAAGGGTAAGAGAGAAGACTATCTGACAGGAGCATGCTCTGAGCTACAAGATGGTGAGTTTCAGGTCTCCCTCTAAGAGTCTGTAGGGATGAATTCAGTTTTACTGAAGATCCTTCTGGTTATTCTTCCAATGAAAATGCTGAAGAAAATTACACTTGCAAAGATACAAGAAATTTGTAAATTTTTTAAAGTTATTCTATTAGTTGGACCTGACAGCTCTTCTAACTTTAGAATTTCTGTTGCGAAATACAGAGTAATTGATAAAGGTAAAAAATAATTTCTGTTAATACAAATCATAGGACATAAAAGACTTTGATGTTTTCAGTGCAGTGAACACAATTTGTGAAACCATGCTGAAGATCAGATTGAGTTTTCCTGTTAGATGAAATATAGAAATAATTTTAAAAGCTAGGCTGTGCAGGTTACCTTTAAGATTTAAAGCTACATTTTGGTTCATTGTAAAACAGGGTACTGAAAAATTCTGATTCTCTTAGATACTTTGAAGGTCTTGGGTTAGACCTCCAAGTCATAACCATTGAGGAAATTAAAACAAAATGTGAATTACTTGTAATTGCTGTCTCTCTACTTTCCAAACTTGGTGACAGAGAATTTAGCAGAGGTGATACAGCAGAGGCAAATTTCACTTGATGAGCTGAGAGGATACATTTTCAATGACAGCCTTGCATAGCTTTCTACTCATGCAAAATTTCTTAGATAAATTTTAGTTGCAGGGCGTAGTTCATTTCCCCCACAACCACTTAATTAATATTAAAGGAAAAACAGTAATTAGACTTGGATTAGATTGGATTAGATTATTTAGACTGCATTAGACTTCATCACCAATTTAATTTTTCACGATCCATCTCTAAGATGACCTTTCACAGTGCTGCCTGTAATTCCTCAACACAGATGTTACTTCATGAAGGAACACCTTGAATTGCCTCTTCCCTAGCATTAGTCCCTGGCCCTAGCCACAGCTCCTCCTGTGCCTCAGAAATACTGGTTATGGTGCTGCCTCCCAGCCTTGGGAACCAGGGTGACCAAATCCCTGACAACAGAGGGGGGATCTCTGTTTTAGCCAAAATAGGTTCTCATTATTTCCACTCTGTGGGAGGGAAATTGCCAAGTGTGTAATGGACCCACTATTTTGTCATATTCTCTCATTTCAGAGGGGTAGAAGGGACCTCAAAGATGTTTTTGGATATGCTGATGAGCATACCTGTTTCAAATAGTGAACTGGAATTATTGATGACTGTGTAAAAAGGAGTGAGTGAGTGAGTGAGTGAGTGAGTGAGTGAGTGAAGGAGAATGTTCCTCCATAAAATTTTGCATGTCTAAATTTAAAAAAAAATCCTGAATGAATCTGATGCAGTAGCAAAATGAACAATCCTAAAGGTAACCTGAGCAGAAAAAAATGGAGTTTAGATTCATTTTACATAGAAACTACAGGCTTATAGTACATTCAGTCTTCTTTTCTGGCACAAAATGACAACTGCAGTCCATTAATGATTTGACTGGGTTCTAAATTCATCATGGCAATTTACTCACTTGATCCAATATAGCAACCTTCTGTTTCTAGGAGTGATTTGGTTAAAATATACAATTAAACTATATCTAATTTAATTAATTAAACCTGTGACCACATTTGGAAAACATATTTTTAACTGTGCTCTTCCTATAATAGCTGATGGTTACCTGACATTCACATTAATATTTTTTTTTCCAGTTATTGAAGAATTATCAGAAGTGGAGAATTGAATGCCCAGAAATAAGCGCAGATTTACAACCATCTTCTGTTCTTGGTCTTTTGCAAGCTGGCTATCATGGAGTCCTAAGGTCAAGAGACCCACATGGAAGCAAAGTTCTAATATACAGAATTGGTGAGTGACAAAATTGCTTGGAACAGTTTCACATCTCATTCCGACACTGAAATTTTTGGGTTTTGTTTGTTTGATTTGTTTTGCTTATTGGTTTGTTTATTTTTTAATTATCACCATTCCAGCAGCAAACCAAAAATATTTTATGGGTACAACTGCAGGGGTTGATAAAACTAGATCATATCAAAATACCTTAACTAGAAAGGTAATATATTTATGTTGCTTGCTTGCTTGTTTTGTTCATTTACATTAACATAAAAGTGAATTTACTGAGCTGTAACAGTTAAATCATTTTACTTATATATTGGTATGGCTAAAGCTGTACAATCCCTCATGAAGAACTTAATTTTCTTTTTACTGAAATTCTTGTTGCATCAAAAGAATCCTGAAGGTTAAAACTTGTAAGATTATGTGTTTTTTTTGGCTCTGAGTGTCCCAAAAATAATTTGACTTCATGAAAATTGTCAAAGCCATGGGCTAAGACCGATGCAGATGCAGCACAGAGTGGGGAGAACAGAAAGGTGTACACCTAGTCATGTATCAGCATTCAGTTTAGGCTTGGATGAGCAGTTCACCAGGTTTTCACTGTTTACTTATAGCCAAAGAGCCCTAGTTAACAACACTTGGAAAGTGCTTTAGTAAAAAAAGTAAATGAACAACATATCTCTTTATGCTTGTTTTGGACAGAGGCTTTAGTTTTGCCAATTTTCAAAGAATTGTCTTATTATCAGCTGGTCTAGTAGACAGTTCTGCCCTCTAAAGCTTTCATCTAGGGTTAAGGCTTATCCCATGCAATTTTTCACTCAGGCCTCAGAAAAAAAATGAGATTCACAGAATCATGCCAGAATCATGGAATTAGTGCTGAAGAACAGTGATATTGATTGTATTGATGATCTGAAGCTTCTGCTAGCATGACTATTACTGAATTGTACCTTGTACTGGGTATATGGCCATAGGTAGAACATGCTGCATTACATAGTACCATCTACTAAGAGACCATCAAAGACGAGTGGGAGAGCAGGAACACAAAGTAACTTATGCCCTGGCAGAACAATTTATCTCAGGAACTTTGTTCTTGCTGGTTAATTCTTGTTGCTGAGAAGCACATTAGAAGCTGTAGAAAGAAAAGGTGCAGATGTATGGGGTTTTCTCAGGGTAATGCAAGGTAATCAATTTTCTCTTCAGGACAATGGGATCCCAGTTTATTTACAGCATACGATGTGTTTCGTGTAAGTCTCATCACATCTGAACTCATTGTAAAGGAGATCGAGACGCAGCGAAATGGAGTCAAAGCCATCTTTGACCTTCAAGGGTGGAGATTTGCTCATGCTTTTCAAATCAGTCCAGCAGTGGCCAAGAAAATTGCTGCTGTTCTCACAGTAAGTATGACATAATGCTTTATGCAGCTTCATTGCTATGACTTCCAGTTTTTCATCTCTTGCAAGCTACAGTAAATTTTCCTTCTGTTGGCCTTCTCACACTATGCAACTAAGAACAAAATCCTAAATCCATTACAAGTTGTGCTGGATTTTACTTCAAGTTTATTCTTCTATAACAATAAATGCACTCTAACTTCTGGTATTTTTTAAGAGCTCCACCAACCTGTTAAAATACAGGAATTTCGTGACTGGAAAGCAAATGAAGCCCAGTTTTGGAAAGATCTGTTTGTTATCTTGTTTCATCTCTTCTCTTCCATTCTTCTGTGCATTATCTCCATATATAAAGCATTTATTCCTGGCTGTGGTAGTTTGACAAATAATAACCACTGCACTGGCTCAGAAAATATTAAAAATAGAATGCACTATGAGCAATTAAGAGCAAGCACTCCTAACTTGTTACCAGTATGGATGATGCTTATGTGAACTTCCATCTACTAACAACAGAATGTATAAGGTTTATGTTCTGCTTGCTTTCTTCCCCAAAACATGAGCATTGTTTTGTGCAAATCACTGCTACCTCAGCTCCTGCTTTCCACAAAACTTTTCAGGACTTTACTGGCTTTACAGCTTATTACTTTCTGCCAAATTCAGTTGAACTTTGCCACTGGATTTGAGAGGAAAAATAATTAAAGAAAAAAGGGGACTAAGAATTGACAGGCAAGCTACTGTGTAGTCCTGTAATCTTATTTTCCTTTTAGAAGTTATGTTGAAAGTTGGTAATAATAAAACTGTTAGCCTGTGATGTGGAAATGAGCCAGGGAGATAATCCCTTGCTCTGATTTGGTAAGGTTCATATCTGAGATTAAATCAAAGCTTAGTCATTGAATTAATATCATCAGAACTTCAGATGTTCTTCCTTTATGGTATCTACTGTAAAACTTTATTGAAACCATTAGGTATTCCCAACTTTTTGCATCTAGAATGAGAACTCTTGGTGTTATGCAATCTTGGGTTAGATCTCACAAAAACAGGACTAGTGAGAGTGTTTCAGTTGATTTCTGAGGTAGTAAACAGATTGCTGGTAATTTTTTTAATCTTGAAATAGAGCAGAAAGGAAGCAGAATAGGATTTGCAAGTACATCTAAACGTTTCAATCCATTATCTCAAACCAGGAAATTCTTTGACTATGATGTTTACATCTTGACCTATTTCTGATTTGTTCAATTAAAAATTGTGTGTTTCTAGTGTTCTTTTCCTTTTCTCAGAAGAGAGAGAATTCTTTTTTTTTTTTTCGTGTCCTTTCCTCACTTTTAACTAGGCTTGTAAATTTTATCTAGAGATTGTTATTGTTGTTCAATATCATAGAACCATAGAATATGTAAAGTAAGGGACTCATCAGAATCATCAAGACCTGGCATTACGCAGGACACCCCAAGAGTCACACCATGTGGCTGAGAGCATTATCCAAACACTTGAACTCTGTCAGGCTTGGAGCTGTGATCACTTCCCTGGGGAGCCTGTTCCAGTGCCCAACCACCCTCTGGGTGAAGAACTTTTTCAACATATCCAATATAAGCTTCCTCTGACACAACTTCAGGCCCTTCCCTTGGGTCCTGTCTCTAGTCAGGAGAGTGATCTTCCCTCCTCTTCCCCTCACAAGGAAATTGCAGACTGTGATGAGTTTTCTCCTCAGTCTTATTTTCTCCAGGCTGAACAGACCAAGTGACCTCAGCCACTCCTCACACGACTTCCCCTCCAGACTCTTCACCATCCTCCTGGCCCTCATTTGAAGCTAACATCTTAATGCCTGTTTTGTATTATGATACCCAAAGGTGAGGCCACCCCAGTGCAGAGCAGAGTGGGACAATGCCGTCCTTTGCCTGGCTGGAGATGCTGTGCCTGATGCACCCCAGGACATGCTTAATGCATTCCACAATATGCTTATATGTAAAAGTCAAGAAACCTTAGTCTTAACCCTGTGTTTTACTCAAGAAATGTGTCTTGTAAATTACTATAATGTATCAAGAAACAGAAGTTAATAGAAAGGAAGTATGTACTAAGGAATGGAAACAATAGTACGAATAGTAAGTGACATTATCATGAAAAATATGTTATCCCAGGCAGAAAAATGTGAAAATCATGATAGTAGACTTTAAATAAATGATAACCCATAATAACATTAAGTAAGCAAGCTGATAATTTTAAGGTCTTTATCATACATTAAAACATAAAAGGAGGGGCACTAAAGAAATGTGTTGGCTTTGGGTTTTTTCTTCCTTAGACCTAATGAACTAGTGAGGAGATATGTTTCTGAGAAGTACCATTTTAATAAGTAGAAAACATCTGGTTCAGAGATAGTATCAGGTGGGATATGAAGGGAAGCTGCCCTTTCCCCATTGCACAAAGCTTGTTTTGAGCACTGCCGTATTTTCTTTTAAATTTCAAAGATCTGGAACTTTTAAATGAATGCAAGTAGAGTCCAAGTTGGTTTATATTGTAAAGGGTATATAGCAGATGTTTTTAAATTTCATTAAAACAATAATCTTGTTGTAAAGCTGAACTTCTGGCTAGGCCAAATTCCTAGTAATTTCAAGGCTTATCTCTAAATTATAAAGATAACTTATTTAACTTAAAGTTAGTATCTTCAGTAGTTTATATATATTTTCAGATTATCCTTCAGGCTGTAAATTGACAATAAAAGCACATAGCTAGATAGCTTTTTTGTAAATTACTAGCAGAATTTTGTAAAAAATTGTACTTCAGAAGAAAGGCTGAGCACAAGGTTTGTGTGCAATATTTATATGCAATTTGGTGATAGTTTTCTGCTTTGTTTGTTTGTTTTTAATATTCAATCTCAGCTCATAATGAGATGGAAAAAATGGTGAGATTTTTCCCTCTAATGGGAGGAACAAGATATAATTTTTCTAAATGTTTCTTAATTTACACTACTGGAACACTGCAAAATGCAGGAATTGGCCAGGTCAGAAGAAATACTTTAACCTATGGACTAGACAGTTTTTATAGGCTTGCCCTTAGTAATAGAGGCGTTTCAATAATATTTTCTTTTTCTTATTCTGTTTTCCATGTACGCTGACAGGATTCCTTTCCACTGAAAGTTCGAGGTATCCACTTGATTAATGAGCCTTTATTCTTCCACCCAGTCTTCGCTCTAATTAAGCCTTTTCTCACTGAAAAAATAAAGCAACGGGTGAGTGCACACAAATATTTCTTTCTGCCACAAAGCCTTTATATGACAATCTGCAGCACTTTCCTTAGGCTCTGCTACTCCTGGGTACTGAAGAGCATAAATCATTTTTGTTTGTTAGTGCCATACAGACCTCCAGGATCTAACAGTAAAGCATTTACAGTTATTTATAACATGAGAGTTGCAAGTGGTGCTGTTATCACTACTCTAAAGATAAAAAACACTGTGACACAAAGAGGTTAAATAATTTGCTTAAGGCCACATAATAATTCTTCTGTAGAACTAGAAAGAAATAGGTCCTGGATTTCCCAGTATTCTGCCTATAAGTGATAGAGAAAAATGATTACTGGACAGTGTTTTTTGGTCAAAGTTGTGCAGAATTAGTAGAAGACAATTGTTTAGCTCTTACAGACCTCCAGAGGCATTTATGCATCAAAAATTGGTCAGACTTAATTTCTAAGTTTTTTTCCAAATAGCTCCTTCACTGCTTTAAATAGTTTTGCAGTTATAGATCTGCAAATAGATTTATATTTGAAATGCAAAAGCATGCCAAGGACTATGGTTTATTGCAGCATAGGAAAAATATTGAAATTTTCAGCTGGCACAAAAGTGAAGTGGCAACAGCAGGATTTATGTACAAAATAAGCAGCCCTGCCTATTGTTATTCCCATTCTGAAGCCTCCTTTTCTCAGCACGTGGATCTTGGGCATTTGCAATAGCCACTGCATGCCAGGACACTAGATCCTAGAAAAGTATCAGACTGGAAGTAATGAACAAGGCTTCAAAATAGCTACAATAAAGCAAGGGAAGAAGAACCAAACCTACAGTATTGCAAGGGTTATAGTGGAGAAGTAGTCCAGAGTCTAATTCCAGTTGGAACTGAAAGATAAGGACTGATGCATAGATTCTGTTGAGTATCTTCCTTGACACCTGTCTGAACCCACATACATACTACATGATCTTGTTTTTCAATACGTGTGGCAGGACCAGATAGTAATGGCCATGAGCCAGACACGGCTCTTTTCTTGGAAATGACAGAAGGGCAAGTGTAAGATATCATGACAGAACAAAACACGAGTCTTCCCATGATTTAGCTCATTTTTGCAGTTTGCGTGTAGCGTGTACCTCATCAGCATTGCTGAAACAGTCTGGAACAAGTGTTTAGTTAGTTTTGGCTTCTGTGCTCACAGTTACATAAGATGCAGTTCTCAGGTTGTAGTCCATCCTTCACAGCCTTCAGATTCAGAGCAGGACAGAGTTTGAGCACCTAGGAGAAACTCACAAGGGCAGTTCCTCCTTTTAAGGAACTCATTATGAACAAACACAGTTAAACCAAGCTGGTGGGTTCAGCTCTTGCACTGAGATGCTTTGCTGCCTGTTCTCACTCAATAGGCTGGCATTCATACCTAAGTAAATGTTTTTAATATTTTGGTTTAGGTGTACATGCATGGAAATAACTACTTGCAGAGTCTGACAGAGCACTTCCCCATCAGCATTCTCCCACAGGAGTATGGGGGAGAGGAAGTCTCCTTTGAAGAGCTGGCCAAGGAATGGACTGACTTCATAATGGCATCTTCAGATTATCTTCAAAGCATTTCTCTGGTTGCCTGGGAATAACCTTGATACAGTATTTTATCAATTCTTGAACACTGGAATTGGAAATAAGTTTAATATGAAAACTTCCATTGTGAATGAAATTAGTATGTCTTTGCAGGGCACTCACTGAATGTTATATTGGCTGCACTTCTATACTAACTGGAGTGTATCAGTTTGTATGTCTGAAGAGATTAATGAATATTACATATTTGTTGCACTGTTTTTAATTGAGTAACTTGTATGCCAGAAAGCTGAAGCGTGCATTGGACGCGAGATTGATACTGCTGCTGTTGGGTCTTTGGAGACGACTCATCTGTAATAATGCAGTGCAGAACCTTATGCTTAGCTCTTGTGCCTAGGCTTGTCAAGACAGTAGGATGCAAAACAAAGAACAGACTGTGAATAGGGTGGAGTAGTTTGTTGCAGAAACAAAACTATGGGGCAAATTTACAAAGAGTGAAGAGGCTGCTTTTTGGATTGATTCTCAGGGAAAAATGCTGTTTTGTTAGTTTGTGTCAAATTGGAAATTAGTCATGAATAGTGAGACATTTGTGTTACTCTTTGTGCTGCTTGTGCAGCTTCCCTTTTTGTGCTAATTAACTGGGTAGTCTTCAAGTTTTACAGAGAGAACACCATGTATGTATCCTTCAAAGGACAGTGTGAATCAGGGGAAGGAACTGGTAAGAGTCAATAACCTTGAAAATTCTTATTTTCTTTCTTCAAAGTCATACTGTCTACAACTATAAACAACTCAGATTATTATCCTTTAATCCCTGGAGTGGAAGACTACAGAGGTCAAAAGTTTTCAGCTGTTTGCATTATCTGTTTGTTTCAGGGGGTAAAGTAGGTTATCCTTTGCAGATCTGAACTTTAGAAATATCTGTTGTATGTTTTAAGGGTGCTTTGAGGTCACTGGACTTCAGCATAGGAGATGCTTGGTATCGTCATTCTATTTTCAGTACAGTAGCTGACAACTTGCCAGTCTGTTTGCTGCTAGACACTGAAAGAAATTATTTTTAATTTCCATTGAGACTATATCTTCATTTATCTAGGGGTACTAAAAAAAAAAGATCTCCGTACTTACTGAAAACAGGTTTTTGTTTTGTTTTGAAGGCGCATTGTTGGCATATGAATACTGCATGTGTACAAGTTATCACTCACTACACAGCAGTATTATGCTATAATCCCCTGTATTTAGTAATCTCAACCATTATTTTACTCTCTCATCTTTTTCCTAAAATCTGTTAGTACACCAACTGCTTTACCCAGTTCTTAACTCAGTTTTGCTTTTGCATAAGCACTATATATTTAAGCATTCCATATGAATTTTCCTATAAATGAATCTATAAAAAATGCTTTCATCTCAGGTAGTTAGAAATCGTAACTTCAGTTGTTTTGTAATCTTTAGGGTATTGGGATAGTATATAGGCACAGGGGACACAAATGAAACTATCCTATTATATTAGAAATATCTTTCTTTAGATTATGATTAATAAGGCATTATTGTAAGAGTCATTGGAAACTATTCTTTATTAGCAAGAGGATCATCTGTGAAAGACCCATTAGAGTACTTGTTGATTGTAGTTTCTTCTTCTATGGTAAGATCAATGCCAGAAATTCTTTCAAAACTAAGAACGTTTTTTTTTGGTTTTTTTTTCTTCCTATTTCTGGATTTCCTCAAGTGCCTTTTAAATTTTTCTCGTTCAAAATATTTTTGATATGGGGCCTAAATTTAAAGAAAACTATTTTCAGATATATATGATTCTATGAAAATGTATTTCATATATATTTCTTTTTCTCAGATTGAACTATTTTGTGATACAAAAGCTCCTTAAATAGAGGAGTTCAATGAACTGTAAATTCTTCTTTATAAGAAAATAGACTAAGTAGTCAGGTATCTGGCAATTGTTCAAGTGTGTAACTCAAGTTCCAAGTAATTTACCAGCTGGAGAACCGAAGCTATTGTCTTAATATTACAGTCCTTCAATTTTAATCAGTGAATGTAAACTGAACAAAGGAACCATGTTTCAGTGAACAAGAAAATTTAACTTTTCCTATGAAACCAATCTCTGATTGCTACTGGTTTATGTAGCAGAAACCTCATTTGATTTCATGTGTATATGCATATGCATTTTTAGCTGGGGCTTTTTAATCTTAATTTGGACTTCACCAGCTCTATGAATATAAAGCCCTAAATGTCTTCAAAAATACCCTGATTCTGTTATTAAGTGATAGCGTGTTTGCATAACTCAACAGTTAGAGCACTGAGTGCAGTTATTTTTTTCCTGAACTGTTAATTATTTTTTAATGTTTACATATTATATAGGAGGTGGGAACTCTTAATTGTCGTTGCTGCTAATAAGGACACGAGATAATTAGAACATTTACATAATGAATAGTGGCGATATATTGGTATGATGCGCGGTGGTATTGCAGCTTTGAGCAGCAGCCAACAAAAAGATCTCCCTAAGTGCCTTATTCTTCATCAATATCGGGAGTGCCTCTAAAAAAATTAAAGTTCCTGTTAAACGGTGCAAATATGATTTACTACTGACTGTAAGCGTGATGTAATGCACAATTTTTAAAAGATTTCTCTCTTTTTTGTAATGTATTAACTCATGTTTTAATTAATAAACCCTTTCTGGTTGAAGCAGCGTTGTTTGTCGCCGACACGAGCGTGGCTCGGGCAGGGAAGGCCGAGGCGGCGGGCGGGGCAGCGCGCCGGGACTACATTTCCCAGCGAGCCGCGCGGCGGCCGCGCCGGCGCTGCGGGNCCTGGCAGGGCTCGCTCCCGTCGCGGCCGCCGCGCTGCTCCTGGTGCTGCTGCGCTGCGGCTCCGCCGCCTCCCTGTCACGGCGCGCCCGCCCGGAGGGGCGCAATGACAGACCCATCATCGGTAAGGGGCCGCCCCCAGCCTGCCTGGGAAACGTCTCCCGCAGCGGAGGTTTGGCTAGAGGTGTTAGAAACTGCCTTACGCCTTCTCTAAAATCAGTTCTCTACATGCGTTCTCTAAAAATCAAGCTTACTCGAGAGAAGTTACGGTGGCGAGCGGTCATAGGCGAGGCTTAGTCAGGTAATGTGTGTTTATGTGGTGCCCTGTGAGCGGGCGCCGTGATTGATGCCCCGCTGTCCCGGTGCCTGCAGTTCCTCTGGGCAGTAAATGTCTCCCTGCGAGCTGGCATATGGGAAGTGGGAGCTTAATTAATTAATTGATAGGAGCACGAGTCTTTGGAGGAGCGGCTGAGGAAGCTGGGGTGGTTCGGGTAGGAGGGGAGAAGGCTCGGGGTGACATTGGCGTTCTTTACCATTGCCTGGAAGGAGGTTGTAGCCAGGTGGGGGTCGGTCTCTTCTCGGCAGCTAGCAATAGCACAAGGGGATGGAGTCTTAAGCTACCTAGGGGAGGTTTAGGTTAGACATTAGGAAGAGTTTCCTCACAGAAGGGTGACTAGATAGTGTAGTTGAATGCCCAGGGAGGCAGTAGAGTCACCGTCCTTAGAGGCGTTTAATGAAAGACTGGACATGGCACTTGTTTCACGGTCTAGTTGACGTGGTGGTGTTCAGTCATAGGCTGGATTTGATGATCTCGGAGGTCTTTTCCGACCTAAATGCATCAGTGATTTCATGACTTTTCTTTCAGCGTGTAGCATTTGCCATTTGTATGGTGCTAATTTTCTCCCTTGGGCCCTTCAGGGATATTGTCACAGGAATGTCACTTTGATGAGTACCAGCGATTTGGAAGATCTTATATTGCAGCTTCATATGTGAAATTTGTGGAATCTGCTGGTGCTCGAGCTGTGCCAATAAGGTACCTTTTTTTTTTTTTTATCCTTAAGAGTAGATAATAATTGCATTGTATAAGGTATGTACCATTTTCAAGGCACAGAAAGTAGTTCTGTTGCTTTTCTGAGTGTTTATTGCTCCTCAAAGACCATCCGAAGATGCCACAAGGCTCAGAGAGTTTCAGAAATTGTAATAAAAGCAGACTGTAACATGTACTTTTGAATACTTCTACTTATATTACAAGTCTTTCTTTGAAATTTTCAAATTTTTTTTTACTAGTAAAATTGCCTTCTGTAGTTTGCACACATGTTTTTTGAAGTTAGCTGTATTCAGTGTACAGTGTAGTGCCCCACAAACACACAGAGGTACTGAGGTACATGGATATCTGTACATTTTTTTCACATTTTCTAGCCCTGGAATTCAGGGAATCAAGGAAGGCTATCAGTACTCCTTTCAGAAAAGAAAATCTAGTTCTGTCCAAACTATGGGTCACTATATCCTGGTATTTTGGCTGTTTGGTAAAAAAAAGTGACAGTGCTTCACACCAGTGCTTAGCTGTGAAATATTAAGTGCACTGAAGCCAGATGATAAAATTATAAATTTCAGTACTTAAAAACAATACTAATACAGCTGCAGAAAAATAAAATAGTATGCATTTACACAGTCCAATAAGAGCACCAATTAAGTGCCCGAATTAGAAGCCAGCATTTCTCACGTAGCTGCTGGAGCTTTCAGAATGTTGACCAGAAGCGTCACCAATGAATGGATGCTTCCAATTCTGGCAATTAAGTTACTTGCAGCAAAACTGAACACTTTTGCTTACACCCAGCATATCAGTTCTGCACAAGTGTGGCCATCTGTGCTGGTTTTGGCTGGGGTAGAGTTAATTTTTGTTGCAGTAGCTGGTGTGGGGGTGTGTTTTGGATTTGTGCTTGAGCACAGGGTTGATGATATAGAGATGTTTTTGTTATTGCTGAGCAGGGCTTACAACAGAGCCAAGGCCTTTTCTGCTTTTCCTGCTGCCACGCTGGCAAGGAGGCTGGGGGTGCATGGGTGTGACCCACTGTTTGCAGCTCTGCCCTTCTTGGAATCAGTTGGAAACCGGAGTTGCCGGTCTACAGGAAATAATAACCATGCCATTCATGTAAATAGTACATTTTTCAAGTGTCTTGCAAAAGGGTCTCAGAGTACCTCATCAGGCACTCCACCTGACAGGGCCCTGTTTTCAGTCTTGTGCATTGAGCCAGTTTCAAGTGAAATGTTTCATTTGATTTATGTCCATTTTACTCTGTTTAAAGCATGCCTTCTGCATATTTTCTGTGTCAGACATTTCTGTTCAATAGAGATGATATTTTTGTGATCAAATATTTTTATATCGTATGTATTCTATAATTATTTTTTGGTGTTTCAGATTAAATCTTACAGATGAAGAATATGATAAATTATTCCACTCTATTAATGGGTAAGTCTTGAGCACTGATTTCCTGTTGAAAGGCATGATGGTTCTGTTTTTGAGCTCTTCTGTGTTCTCAAGAACATTTTCATCCTACTCTCTTGGGAGAGTGCTGGGCACTGCAGACATGAAAATAAGACACAGAATGCATTATTTCATCCAGTATTGGTGTGCTGCCTTTCCTTCCTTGAGGAACACATCAGATAATCTACAACAGTGCCAAGGCTTACCTTGTCAGTCCCTTGTGCTTGTCTGTAGACAGGGAGAAGTAGCATTGTAGGTATGAGCAGTTTTGCAAGTGAGATACTGCATTTCCTCTTTGTTAATTTTTCTGTCTTCCTCATTTGAGCTGTCACCCTTATTTTGATGTTTTAATAGCACTGGCTTAGTATGTCATCCCTGTTTCTACCCTTTCTTCCCTCTTTCAATCCATTTCATATCTCCCCTATTATAAAAGCTTCTGTTTTTCAGTTTCTTCTACTCTTTTCTCCATGTGTGCTCTCTCTCTCTTGCTACTTGGTCTGTCTCGTCTGTTGTGATTCTGTGTCTTAGGTATTTGTTAGAAAATTCCTGGTTTTCCAGGGATCTATGGCAACTCTGAAGAAATGCTGAAGAAAGTGTTTGGCAAGTAGATCCACTTTCTTTGTCCTTCTGTACTTGCAGTCAGAAGTCAGTTGAGTTTGTGTTATGTAGGTGAGTGAAGTTGATCTGGATTTCCCTCTGTGGCCCTCCACTGTCATCCATTGGCTTCCACAATAAAACTGTGTGTAAGTAACAAAAAAGAGCTCTGGAGGCAATGACTTTTATTCTGTGGAAATTCAGTATAAGGAGGAGATACACTGAGCCTTCATATTGTTCTTTGAAGTTGGAAATTACTTAGTATTAAATGCTACCTTCTTAAAATCATGAAGTTTACTATAGTTAAGACATTTTATGTCTTTTATTTATTTTTTTATAATTTTATGGCTATTCCTGAGGTAGCCATCAAAATGCCCAGTGGAAATCATCAGCTCTAACCAGGTGATGATACTGGAATACACGTAGTTGCATTTCAATCTGCTTATGACAATGTCAGGTCATTATCATTGCTACCTAATGGGTTATTTCCTTTGTGCATTAGCAAAAATGATGATCAGTTTTTCTAATTAGTATAGTCCAGGTTTTGGTTTGAACAGGTGGAGTGAATTTTCTACCACTTCCAGGTAAAGATCGCCGAATTTGTCTAATTAGATCTCTAATAATCTGGTCTATTTTGAAAATACTTTCAGCTGTATTAATTTTCAATGTTGACACTGGGAAGTAAAGTTTTTTGTACTTTTGTGAATACTGCTTTTCCACCAATACTTGATAGCTGTTACATGAGCCTGTGCATTATTCACTTTAAAAAAAAAATGGTCACAAGGGTTTAAATGAATATTTGCTCTGCAAATGCTTGGGATCATTTGAGATGTTGTTTCTAACTACTTGTTAGTATCTCACAGATACAAATTGACATTTTCATAGCACAGAAATGTAGAGGAAATCCTACACCCATTAGGTAAAAAATCAACAATTAATGGATGTGACTTGTGTAAATCCAATTGAGGTTCTGCAGCAGAGGGTTAAGGAGTGCTTACACATCCAGTTTTGTTGGTTCTGCAGGCACTGTTCCAGTTACAGCCAGAAGAGGCTTCCTTTATTTCATGTTACTGTTTCTGATGGTACTTGAATATTTTCTATGTCATATGTCTCCTAGACTCTGCTGAATCTTTTTCTTCTGTGGTGGTTTTTTTTTTTTTTTTGGTTTGGGGAGCCACACAGGGAATTGCCATTCTTGATTATATTTTGTGCTGGAAAAAGCTTGTGTAGTATTTCAGTGAAATTGTCCCTGAGATTGTCTTCCTTAGCTCTCTGTGACCAAAGGTTATGGTCAAACATACTTTTCTTCCTTTTTGATAGAAAAGTTTTGATCTTTGTTGTCTCCAAGAGGAAGGTCACTGTGCCAGGGCCACAATTCTATTTTTCTGAAGTTGAACAGAATGAATTGAGATTTGGGCTAGAGTTTTAAAGTGGTAGTGAGAGCCAGCTGAGAATCAGGATAGGAAATGACAGTCATGGCTTGCAGCCCGTTTGAATACCAGCTGAAATCTGTGTGTTTTATATATTTTCTGTTTACTTTCTTCTTCCATATGTTGCATTAGGCTTGATCTATACTTTGTGACAGAGTAACCATTCTTCAGCAGAACAACACTAAAAACACTATGATTAAGTTAAAGACTGAAACACCTAAACTTAGCTGTCTGTCTGTGCACTAGCTGTCCAAACTCACATAATTAATGGAATGCTAGTCAGTACAGCCAGTGGAGCTGACAGGGCTGTTCAACCTACCTACCACTCAGGTGTCTGCTCTGGAAAACCTATTTGAATCTCCAGTGCATCTCCTGACTAGATCCCTGCTGTCCATAATGGGAGCATAGATACCTGCCTGTAGATTTCTGAAACCTAGACCTAAATCATACCCTTAAGACTGCTATCAGACATTTCTCTGTGTATATTGTCCAAATTTTGGGTTGATCACTGTTGCTAATCATATTCTTGGATGTTGCCTTTCAGGGTACTTCTTCCAGGAGGTGGTGTGGATCTTAGGACTTCAGAGTATTCAAGAGTTGCTAAGATTTTTTACCACAAGGCCTTGGAGGTAATTAGTAAGGAGCAGTTGGTTCTTGTTACTATCACTGTTTGTTTAGAGATCAAAATGATAGGTTGATATTTTTCATGGTTTTGCACTGTCATTCAGTGGGTTAACTGTAGGCCTGAAATTAGGTAGCTTATTTCTTGCTTCTGCATAAAACTTCTGCATTAATAGCTTAAGATTCACACTTGTGATACCCACTCCTGTTATATGTTGTGTTGTGGACTTCAACTCCGGAGTTCTTCAGGTGACAACCGTATTGTTTGTTCATTGTACCTGAGGCTTTATGGCTCTGTGTGAGAATTCCAATGGGTAATTGCTCTTCCACCTTTGCTGCTGACTTTCCAACAGCAGGCAAGGAAGTGCAGGAAAGTGTTATTCACAGGACTAGTCAGCTGCTGCAATTCAGTAATTGAGATCCTTTTACTCTTCAGTCCCTGAGGCACCAATGTTTTTATTCTTTTGTCTGTCTTTGTTTGTGGTGAGTCTTGCAAAGACTGTCTCACTTTTATGTGAGGCAATTTCACTTGTGTCTCTGGAACTGCTCACTGTGTGAACTGTAGCCTGTGCCTTGGTATTTAGCACTGGGGCAAAGGTTTCTTGTGGTTTGTTGTACAATTATGAAATTATGTTAACATTTCACAATGATGAACTGAATTGCCTATGTCATTTTATGATCAGAGAGACGGGTTTATTAGATGATATGTGTACTACCAGTGACTGAAAGTCAGAAAATATTCAGTTCATCCTAGGTAACCCTTTCTAACAAAGGAGGAGTTTTTTTCCATTGCTGTTTGCGATAATTTTATGTTTTTATTTTCATCTTTTGAATCTTAATTAGCACTAGAAAATATTGCTGGCTTTACATATGTAAGGTAAGCTACAATAGTCAAGAGTATCTTTACAAGTACAGAATGAATGAATTTTATCTTTTTCTAAAGCATGAGGGGTTCTTTCCATTTGCAAATGTTCACAGTGAGAAATTTACTTTGATCTGGCTCTGCTTTAATATGAATAGAGGAAATACTGTTCTCTAGCTCTTAAATCAGTTTTTAAAATGTAATGTCTTTAGTGTTGTTTAATACATGCTTGGCCTCCAGGCTCCAGTTTATTTAAAAAAAAAGGGGAGGGGACACAAAATCTTTGTTTCAGTTGTAATTGGTTTTAAACTGTAGTCTATTTTTTGCCTTCAGTAGTTTAGTTCTCACTTGCAGCTCCACTGTTTGTCTTTCATGTAAGTTTGTGCCTCGTTATACATTATGGGTGGTCATAAAGACTCTGCAGCCCTATCAGCCTTCTTTCTGTACATCTTCCATGTTTTGCTGTGAGAAGTAGCAGCTCTGTGGGCTTTTATTACCATCCTGTCGGTAATGCAGTAGGGGAACATAATTATTCTTAGCCCATCAATTTTAGATTTCTCAAAAATGGCTTTGAGCAGCAGATCTTCAGGAGTGGTATGTGTGTTGTGGTCTGCATAACTTAAAGATGTTTAGAAACAAGTTAAGAAAAACTAGTCAGATTTCACAAAAACAGGAGTTCTGAAACATCCCAGTCTCCAACACATGCTTACTATTGGGTGTAATCCATTTAAAAATGCAGATTTCCACTGCATGTGTGCACCATTAGGTCCCAAGAAACTAGTTGTGTTCTTGGTTTTTTTGCTTTCTTTTTCTCCTTCTTGGTTTTTTTTCATATTGTTTTCACACTGACCTGCCAATTTTTATTCTTTTGAAAACGATTGCCACTTTTTAACGTTGCTTAAGTGTACATTTTGTCTTTTTGGAACACAGGTCTAAACCTGCTAGCTAAAGAATCATATAGGTATGTCACGTAAGACCGTAGCTATGCTGGTAGTAGGATTCATGTTTTCTTAATACAGTTGGGTGGGCACAGACATTGCAAAGGTCCCTTGCTATGTAATCAGAGCATGCTTTGTAGAAAACTTTCTCTCAAAATGGTGACAGACCCTTCTTATGATCACTTTTTTTAGAGAAATGTTGCCATTTTGTGGCTTCTGTTTAAGCTGCTCTCAGTCGTCTCTCTTGTAGAACCCAAGTCAAATCAATATCCACATTAGGCTCAGTTTGCTGCTTCAAAACACATATATATCCTTCAGCCTTCATGTTTTAGGAGAGACTCTAAGGGAATCTGTACTTGTTTCTTTTGCAGTTGAACTGTTATAATTCCTGTGGTAGCAATTCATAGTAATGTAGTAGTTATACTTCTCACCTACACAAAAGAAAGTGAAAAGAGTAGGAAGTTCTTGTCAGTCTCTTTTCTGTACATTTTCATTACTGTTTCCTTGTGTTGTTGCTTTTATTTTGCAGGCTAATGATAAAGGAGATTATTTCCCGATATGGGGAACATGTCTTGGACACGAAGAGCTTACGTATCTCACAAGTGGTGAAATTTTGCTTGTTCGTACCAAAACAAATGGATTTTCACTCCCTCTGAACTTTACCTCAGGTGAAAAATTTGTTACATCTCATGTCTGAGTTTTGCTAAGAGGTGTTGTGTTTTGTTCATGATAAATATTAGAGGGTGAATATTTGCGAGGTTCATGATGATTGTCTTCTGTTAAATTCTTTGCTATTAAGTTGCATTGACTGTTTTAGTAAAGTCAGTGCAGCTGTCACTTCTTAAGAGAAGTGAACACAAGCATTTGAAACCAACAGCAGTCTGCAAAAAACAAAGTTGTGGCTCTTTGAGTAATTTGAAAATTTGGACCTACAAAATAACCTCTGCTTTTTGTGACCAAGTTGAACAAAATTCACAGGTTCAGAACCTAATAAAGTTGGAGAGCAGGTGATTTTAAATTTTTCAAATCATGTCTTTCCTCATGATGAATAGTAGCATTACTGTCCTATTTGAACAGTGTTGAAATCACAGAGGTCCCTTGAGATAGAGATGTGGCACTAGGCAGCACTTGTAAAGTGTGGCCTCTGTTGATACTTTACCCTTTGTGAGTAATCAAAAAAATAAGTAGCATTCACAAATTCTGTCACTTGTGCTCATTGTGAGTGGAAAGGCTGCTGAAATGAATGTCAAAGAATGTTGCTTATTTTAGTGAGAACTTTGCTGCCTAAGCTGGATCCTCTCTGGGTCAAGACCGGTAGACAGTGGTAACAGCATATTGGAAATCTGTTGTAGTTACTTCACTGATATTTTTTTCAGGATATTCTAAAATAATAAAGTTTTACTGCCAAAAAGGTTCAATACAACATTTTATTAATTGTCTTCTGTCAGTATAAGTCCATCTGAGATCAATATCAGTAATGGAAAACACAATTTTTTTCTTTGTAATAGCTGCAAAAGACAGTAAAATGTTCAGGAATTTCCCGGATGACTTACTACGCTCACTTGCTACTGAGCCATTGACATCAAACTTCCATGTATGGAGCCTCTCCATGGAGGTATTTGATATTTTTATTTCCTGCATACAAGCACTTTTTTTTTTTGTTAAAACTAGAAATAAATAAGCAAGTAACACCTTTTCCCTCTTCCCCCTCTCCTTGTCACAGAATTTCACCAATAATGAAAAGCTTCGTAATTTCTATAATGTTCTGACCACTAACACTGATGATGAAGTGGAGTTTATATCTACCATGGAAGGTAAGGAAATTAATTTCCTTTGGAAACTGTGACTGTAACAACCTAGTTCTTTAGGGGTGTTGTGGCTTGGCTGTGAGTTCATATTGCAAGTTGTTGAAATAGCGGGGTGAGCATCAGCCCTGCCAGTGCCCTGGCAATTCTGTTTGCGGGGATATTTTATCTTTTGAGTACCCTGAGCCTTAATACTCCTCCCACCCGCCGTTCCCCTTCCAGATGTGCTGTTACTCCTTAGCACTGGTGTATTTGAGTGCCGTGGTGTGACCTGCAGAGCGCTTGTGCTGCAGCAGGTGAACCCTGCGCAGCGCAGTGTGCCTCTGTCAAGCCGTGCGTTCCAGCTGCCCGCTCAGGCTCACATTTCCCTGCGGCTCTCTGTTTGCTGGAGGGGAAGAACACTCCAGACTGCCGAGGGAACAGCGCTATCCCTCATTACCTTAGCGGCAACGCTGGCAATCGCCCTCCTTCTTTTTCCAAGTTTGGAAATCGCTCTCCTCCAATTTCCAAAATTGCCTTTTGCGCGACTTGTTTTGTCTGTTTCGCGCCAGGCTTGCTCAGCTCAGGAAAGAAGTTAGCTCTTCAGGGAGTGTTTTATCTTGATCAGTGCACCACTAGCAGCCCTACTGTAGGGCCCAGCTGTCACCAATGGGATTCTTCTGTGTGACATCCTGGCTGCTCTCCAAAAGAGAGGAGTAGCACTTTGATCAGCAAACCTGATTAGGCTAATGACAGGCATCACCCATGCCTGCAAGGGGTTTATCACAGAGCAGTCATCAGCTGCTGTGCTGCTATTCCTTGGAAGAGAGCTGAGGACTGACACCCCCAAAGTGTATCGGGCCTGGCTGGAGCAGGTGGGTGCTGCCCCTGGATTGACTGGGCCTTCAAGGAGATACAAAGACTTGGATCTCTCCCATGGAATTGGCATCCTGTATGGCTGAGAATGCTGAGTGATGCTGGCAAGAGGATAGAAAGCTTTGAGACTGATACACCTGAAACATTGTTTTTTAGTGTGTATATACATTAATTCTGAAATTAATAATCAAAAAAAATTACATACAAATATTTTCTTGCATGGAATGAGACCCTTCTTTTACCATATTTCTTGCTTTTCCTTCAGTTCTACTATGACTTTAATAGTGTTTCAACTTGGTGTTCAAGCTTTTGTGAAACTGTTGATAAGTGAGGTATATTTGTAGCTTATCCTCTGAGTTTATTTTGCAGTAAGATTAATTACATAATTCTTAAGGCATACTCCTTTACAAACTTTGTGTTTCGTTGTAGCATACAAATACCCAATTTATGGCATGCAGTGGCATCCAGAGAAAAATCCTTTTGAGTGGAAGGATTCTCCAGGCATTCCACATTCACCATCTGCTGTAAGAGCAGCATATTATATGGCTGATTTCTTCGTTAATGAAGGTAAAAAAAGTTTATTATCTATAAATGTTGGGGGTGAGAGTGAAGCGTTACTGAATAACTTTGAAGACAATGGACTTCTTTATCATCTGTCAAAATTCAGTACCTCATAGAGTTTTCTGAGAAGATTACTCTGCAAGCTTTATAGGCTTATAAAACACCAAAGGATACTAGAAATAGAGTGGCTTAGTGAAAGTAACATCAAAAGGCCAAGCATTACACAAACTCTTTTCACTAGGCTGTCTCTAAAACATTGTGACTTTCTACCATTTCAAAATATCCCTGTAATATTTTGGCCTCTCTTGCACAAAGACAATAAAACAAAAAAAGTACTCCATTCATAATTCCAGGGTCGTCTTCAGTTTCAAACTGGCTTACAGTCACTCAATGTGTTCTCAATTTTGCTTGCAAAATGCATACACCAGGACTATAAATAAGGCTTGGGCAGTATGGATGTGCCAGAGGGGTGCAGTATGGTACCCTACAGTTGTATACTATAGACATCACAAGGAGTTTTTGAATTTTGCAGAGCTGCTATTTTTTTGTTTTGTTTTGTTTTTTTTTGTTTATGCCCTGAGAATCTGGAAGTAACTAATGCATAGCATTTTGATAGTTTATGACACTTCTCATCTTTGCTATAAATAAGCAGGATATAAATAGAGGAGTATTTGAAGGAATCAAACTTTTTTTCTTAATTCATCCCTACTAAATAATTTTGCTGGGCTGTTTTATGAAATTGTCTTACCTCCTTGATGGGGACTATGAAGAACATAATAATTAAGACGAGTGAGTTTGGTCTCTAGATTTGGTCTCAAATCAAGAGTCAACTTCATGAAGAAACTACACAGCGATGTAAATAAATGCAATTTGTGCTGACCTGGTCAGTGAGAGTGTAGAACTAAAAGTTGCATTACATACAAGTTCAAGGTGCTTTTTTACATAAAGTAGTCCTACTTCTCTTTGTGAAACCTCTAGCAAAACCATTTTGATAGGGAACTTAGGGCCAGGCATAACTGGGCACCTGAGCAGCCTGGTCTAGTGGAATGTGTCCCTGACCATGGCAGGGGGATTGGAACAAGAAGATCTTTAAGGTCCCTTCCAACCCAGGCCCTTTTATGAGATGGCAGACTATGACGAAAATAAAGGGGGGGAATAGGAGAAAATCCAGTCTGAGTCTGGTTTTACTTTGTAGTTTAATACTAGAATGCACTGTGTTTTCTGGCTTTGTTTGCTACTTTCTCTAGTGTCTATCTGCAGACTGTATTCCCAATAGGAGTAAGCTTGCTCAGGCCATTTATCCAAGTTAAGAGGGCAAAACAAGTGCCAGCTCTGCTTGTAAATCCCATTGACACACACTGTGTGTGAGTTCTGTTAGGTATGTGTACACATCTAAGGAGCTTGTGCAGTGTCACACAGATGTGTCACTAGCTTTTGGATCTGCTGACCATTCCAGTAGAGCAAACTTTCTTCAGCCAGCTTTGTCTACCCCCATCTCTTCTACCAAATCCTAAATTACTCTTCATTATCTCCCCGGTCTTTTGGGGAGGTACTGAAACATAAGCTGCTCCTACTGAGTACTCCATATCATAACTTTGCAATGATTAATTGACATTTTTAGCTAATGTAAGGCAGAATATCTTCCCTACTTTGAAAATAAACCACAAGATGAAAAATGTAAACTGTTTTCAGCTGGTAAAAATATACTCACATGTGATCACTTAGTAACTAAACCATTCTACTGAAATGCCATTTTTGTATCCATCCATCATAATTTTAACTTCTGTAGAGTTGCCAATATGATAAACCAGGGGAGGATTCAATTTTATTGTCCTCACCAGCACAGTCCATGCAGCTTTCAGTAGGCAAATACTCTGATGCATTTCTTTTGTGTTAAAAGTACTGGTATTTCTGTTAGATACTGACAGTATCTCATGGATAACTACTTCATGCAATTTCGGCTTTAAATTCTCCCTCTCCATTAATACATTATGCTGTAACCAGCTTTCTGAAGATGTATCTTCACAGTTCTTCACATACAAGCTATTGTAATTCCATTTGTTGTTGTGCTACACAAAATAACCTACTTTGCCAAGATAAAATTGTTGAGGAGGATAACATTAAAATTATCTGTACTTTTACAATGTTTTACAGCCAGGAAGAGCATGCACCATTTCTCCAGTGAAGACGAGGAAACAAAAGAATTGATCTACAATTATAATCCAGTTTATACGGGAACATTTTCTGCATTTCAGCAAACCTATTTTTTTGATTGAGTATCTTGTCAAAGATGCTGTGATGTTACTAATAAATGGAATTATTTGCCAGCATTGTGTAATTAAGCTTATACAGTGTCAGAAAGCTAGAATAGTTTTCCTTTACAATGATTTATTCTGTGTATCTTCTGCACTATTGAAACATTAATATATAAATTTACATTCAATAACATAATAATCATCTTGGATCACATTTTAAGGCAAGCTACAGAAAAGTTTATTTTTCTTCCAGGAAGGACTTGACTATGCTTATAAACTTTGAAGTAATCACCTTCGGTACAAGGAAAAGCTTTCATATATTTTTAAAATATGAGACATTGTAAAATGTTGTGGACTATGATAGCACTAGACACTTAGATACATCATTTAGTAAAATCCTGTCCTTTTCAAACAATTTAGCAAATGAAACTCTTGGATTTGTCATAGATATGTGTATGCAGCCAAGTTCTTGGCAGGGACTCCTTTGTCATTTCAAAAATAGACCAAAATAGTAAGGCATGATAGCAAACAGACATTTATGCGTAAGAAGCACGTTGTATCTCATTTGTGAAACTGTTTCTCTTGTGCATTGAGCATTATTTGGAGTCCTTAAACCTTGTGAGGCCTTCATATCACAAATATCACATAAAACAAGTAGGCTTGGAGGGTACAATTCAGTGCTGATTCCACTTTTCAACTCAGTTTTATATATCCTTCAAGAATTCTTCTTGGAGTAACTGGAGTCAGCAGCCAGATATGACATGCAGACACTCATTCCTTTGTGTTTAAAAGAATGTAAACCTAATTTTTTCTCTAAAGTATCTGACTTTTGCTGTAGCTGGATAGAGTTTCACTTGAAGTCAAGAGGTAGATTGCCATTCTATTAGTAAACAAGGTAGTTTCTGTCTTGTTTGATAGTTCAGTGCAGCTAGAATTTAAACAGCAGATGAATGTATATGAGAAACCTGTTAAAGGTAACATAATGTGATAATAACAGTTGCATGCAATACACTGACACCATTTTTCTCTCTGCTTTGCTCCAGAGTTGGTGAAAATTTTGTTCAGTGGTTTTGTGTGTTGTCTGAAAAGGAACTAAGGTTAGACAATAAGATAACATTCTCTAGCACAGCTTCCAAACTCTTGTTAACATTAACAAGGATTTGGAGTTTATGAAGAATTCAGGTTTATAAACTTCAGCTCTGTTTTGTAGAACTTCATACTCTCAGGTACCATATCTGAATAAGTCTGGTAAGTTTCTCAGGTTTTTCAAGTAAAACACTCTCTTAACTTGTTCTTTATCATGAGGCATCTGCATAAGAGAATGTGAAGTGCATCAGTTTAAAAAAACAACTATGAGGAAACATTAACTATGACTAGCAGAAAAACACTTCCAGGTAATTACAAGCTTAAACATGAGATATTTTTACATTTGTCATATCAGCTAACTTAGTAGATGGTTATCTTTTTAGTATAGGTAACTTTATTAACTGACTCCTGAATAGAACCAAGTTTAAAAAGAGAGTTGTGCTCTACAGTTGCATGTAAATGTAGCAGCTATGATATTTAGAAATGGAGTCCAGTCTTCTACTTGTTGTTCAGGCTGAGTTCTTTGGAATAGCTCTAAGAATTTACCTAAGTAAAATGGGCAGAGTTTAGCCTTAAACCCAAGATCAGTGTTGGAAGTGAAATGTCTGCAATGGTAGTAATTAGTTCCTAAATGTGTAACTATAAAGAGTATTGTGTGTAATATGATGAGAGAAATTTATATATTATGAATTTGTATGTGTCTTTCCTTTATACCCTTTATCTTGTAAAGCCTTATTTGATGATATGCATGATTTTTCTATGATCCGTGAAATAAACTTTCATTCAAGCAGACTTGTATTTTTGTTGTCTTTTAGATACCACAGATGAAGAACTGACAACAGTCATTGTCTTCTTGTTTCCATCTGTGATAGTTGTAAATCAGGAGGAGGTCACAACCTATATCTGCTTTCTGTGGTCATGCCAGCAAGTCAGGATGAGTCAGATCCATGTATGGTTTTTCATTGCACTGACAGAACTCCTAATACAGTTTTTAGAATTAATGCTAGTGAGAGAAGAAGAGCCTGTGACCGTACTCAGCTTATTAAATCTGGTGTGTGAGCCTAACCAACTTGTTTGTTGCTGTGTGGGAAGAACATCCACTGATCAGCAAGGTGACACTAATATGTGTCTTTCAGACCACGTTAAATCATCTCTAAGAAAGAAGTTTGTTGTTTCCTCCTTGAAGTATTCTGCTCTTCCCACTAGATGGCCTCCGAGAACCAGTATTTTCTGCTATTTTGTAATCAGGTGTGATTGTGTCTCTAAAGATGAGTAAGGTATTTACTGTACTGTGGTATGTAGTGAGGTGTTTGGGATGTAGGGGAAGAAGAAGGGAGGAGACAATAGGACTGGAATCTTCCTGGCACAACTGGGCATATTGGCAGGATTTCAGGAGAGAGTCTATGAGCATTGAATTAATTCAGCTAGGATTAAATCTTGTTTCCAGTGAATATTTGAACCATTCAAGCATTAGCTGATGGTGGCTGGAATTACATCTGTCTTTTCAGGTCAGTGTTCCTCCCCTTTGGCTATAGAATCTGTCTTGGTTCCATTTTTTATAAATATGAAACTAGCTCATCCAGAACAGGGCAGACAGCTTAGATGGGAAGAAATGACAGCTTGATCTCAGAAAACCTTTGCCTGGGAGGCAGGAAAGACCAGTTTGAATTCCTTCAGGTAAGGAAGAAATTACAGGGAAGACACATCCTGAGTAAGTGCTCTAAGTACAGAGTTAAAGAGTAAGAGGAAGAGCTTGACCCACAAGCTCCATTGTGGAGAAAACCAAATAATAAAACAACTCGCCCTAACCCTAACCCCCACCACTTTTGGCCTAGGCAAAATTCCCTGGCAAGATAATGAATCCAAAGCAGAGATTACTGTCCAAGCACTTCTGTGTTGAACACCATATTTTTAGGTTAATTTTTAACCTTTTCCCTTTTAGCATCAGTGCCACCATATTCATTGCTGTGGATGCTCCTCAGTAAAACAGTATTGAAAGCTGGACTGTACTGGGGAGATTTCTGTAGAAATTAATGACCTGTTAGGAACATGATAGTTCTTTCCTTGGAACACTGAGGAAAGTATGGAGACAGTTTGAACAACGAGGAAGAACAGTAAGAAACAATTTTAAAACATTTATGTGTTACCCCTGCATTGCCCTTATGAGCCAGGAGCCCTCAAAGAGGAATAGCCATGTGTGTAATCAGGTGGCTGAAGTCTGCATGCCAGGGCTCAATCAGGAATGTTTGGGTTTGAGGTGGGAAGGTGTACACAAGATTTCAGTCAGTTTTATCACAGTAAATAGTATTTCATCTGGGGTTGCGAGGGTTCTTTTGAGTTTTTTTTCTACTGTGGAATTCCCATTCATGTATCTGGTGGTTGTGTTACCAGAAAAGCTATGGGAATTGGCTAGGGTCCAAGTCCACTAACTGCCCTGGGCCACCTGTTGATAAGGATACTGATCCAGCTTTCATCACTTCCTCATTATGTTTATATCTGTTTCATAAAGTAAGCAGTATGTTTTAAGAGCCAGCTTTCTCTGTTCTTATATAACAAAAAAAAATTTCCAAGACAATTTCATCTAAAAAAAAAGCTTGGATCATTTAAAAATAGCTGCCACTATTTGGAGGAGCACTCGGAGGAGCACTTGAACTAAGTATTCACTTCAGACTTAAGCAAAAAACCCTCTGATTCTCTGATTTTCAGAAATGTTGTGAACAAACATCCCCTGCAACTAAACTTTCTGTAAATGAAAAGCAAAAAGGCAGAAAACCCAAAAGGTTAAATGGGGTAAATTCTAGCAGCTGCTACTTCTGAGCATCAAAACAATTGGGCTAGTGAACCAGTGGGCTAGTTAATTCTCTTCACGTAGTTTGGATAGGACAGTGTTTTGGGTTTGTGCTGAACACACAGGGTTGATAATTCAGGGATGTTTTAGTTGCAGCAAAGGAGTGCCCACATAACCTCAAAGCCTTTTCAGCTTCTCACCCGACCTGGTGGGTGAGGGTGAGCATGAGGGCTGGGGGTGCACAGGGACTCAGGAGGGGACACAGCCAGGACAGCTGACCCCTGCTGACCACAGGGCTATTCCATACCATATGATATCATGCTCAGCATTTAGATGTGGGGGAAGAAGGAAGGAAGGGAGGAGATGACATTTGGAGTGACAGCATTTGCATTCCCAGGGGACTGTTTAGACATGATGGAGCCTGGCTTTTCTGGCTGAACCCCTGCCTGCTCCTGGGAAAGGGTGAATGAATTCCTTGGGTTGCTTCACTTACATGTGCAGATTTTGCTTTACCTATTAAACTGTCTTTATCTCAACCTATGAATTTACTCAGTTTTGCTCCTCTGGTTCTCCCCTCACCTGTCTGTGGAAGGAGAGAGTGACTGTGTGGGGCTTTGAGGTTAAATCACAGCAGTTTGTGACTGTAGCTCCCAAGCTTCCTTTGATGATCTTTTTCACTGTGTGTATACAAGTTCAAGAGCTGATGTTATATGTGTGTGGTTTCTTGCAATTTTCCTGAAGAAGAGATCAGCAAGATCAGAAAGACTGAAATAGCAACTTTCTAGCTAGAAGCACATTAGGAAATTAATTTCTCCCTGTGACTTCTTGAGGCACCAATATAATCTGGTAATAATGGCCTTAATTCAACTGCAGAAGTGGAAGTTTGAACTTCATATCACTGTACCTGACCAGGATTTACTCAGCAGGTCTTATAACTCCTAAAGACCTGCTTTTTCAAAAGGCAATGGAACATAGTATTGTGAATAACTACTAAATTATTATTGTATTAATCACTAATTTTTAATATATTATTAGATTTAATTAATAATTATGTTGTTAGCATTATAGAGGAGGGACAAAGTAAAGTGAAGAGGCTACAGACCATTTTTTAGATTTTTCCAAAGGAGCCGTGTCAGAATGGAAGTACTACGAAGTTTTTGGCCAAACCTGGATGAAATTAGTTCTTGCCATCCTTACAGGCTCCTAAATTCATTGCTAGCATTTAAACTGTTTTACCACTGATGGAGACCATTTTCAGGATCTAAAAGCAGATCTAAACATGTCTTGGACTTTCTGGGCAAAAGAGAGAAACCTGAGTGACCTATTATCTGCTTTGCTTTAATTTGAGATATTTGTACTGAGTGTTTCTCATTAATATTTGCAACGAGCATCTCAGTCTACCATTTCAACAAAAAGTACCCGTAATTCTTTTGTTTCTGGACTTAAAACTGAAACATTTTTCTATGTTCATTATGCCACTAAGCTGAACACAACAAAATTTTCCTCCTACTAGGAACAGAAGCTAGTCCGCTGTTGTTCCCTAGGTTCTTAAACTTTACTTAGGTTTCTCATCAAACACAGGATAAGTTTGTTCCCATCCCTATAGTTTTCCCACTTTGGTTCTTGCACACTGTGCTACCTTCTGTCTCCTTAGGGAGTTTAATTACTGTACCAGAACTTCGAGCCAGCAGTTACTACTTCTTTCAGCAGCAGCTGCCATAGTCTTCCCAAATTACTGACTGTTCTTCAGATGCTTGCAAATGAGGGAACTGGCTCCATGAACACAGTACATGTCAGAGCAAGCCCAGTAGCTCCCTGGCCAGTCTGTGTGTCAGCTGAAGCTCAAGCCATCGCATCCCAAGATAATGCTTCAACATAAATGTCTTTCATTTCCTTTTATTCTTAACTGTCAAGACCCTTGCCCTCCCTTAGCTGCATTTGCAAGGTTTCCCTAAGAAATCTGTTCAGAATCCAACAGCTGTTTTCTCCTTGTTTTCCACACCCAGGGATTCAGGCACATAAAATGAATTAATCTGGATTGATCTGCCACTCTTTTAACAAAAACTGAAACTTGAGATGAGAATGTACTGTAGCTTTTAAGCTATGCTTAAAAGTGAGTGGGGAAAAGTTATTGTACAGTATAAGTATGTATCTTTATATGTTAATTTTATTTTAAGAGTATCTGAATTGCATCATCTCAGCATGTGGAATACCAGTCCAGACAATAACATCTGTTTGAACAGCAGGGCTTGCTGGGCATCTTTTGTTTTCCCAAATTTGTCACTTGCACACTTTGACTGCAGAGTCCAGGGTATTGTATAATATACTATCCTTTTGGCAAGGTACTCAGCATGGATAGTGATGGTCACTCTAGGACTTTGGTGCTAAACTCAGTCTCCCTCTGAGGCTTGGCTGTCAGGCCACAGAACTGCATGGACGGGAGTACAAGTCATGTGCCAGGCGAGGTTTGACATGTCAGGGTTTCACAAAAGACATTTCTATCATGTCTCACTCATGTTTAGACAAATTAGGAGAATTTCGATTTCCCAAGAGAGGAGCAAGCCTGAGGCTCATATCCTGCACTGCCACACCAGTGAGTGCAGACACGTGCACAAACTGTGCCATGTATTTGTGCTGTTCAAAAGAACTTAAAGTGACATTCAGAAAGATCATAAGGTGCCAAATAATGCTCTTTTTTAATTCCTTCTTTATAAGTGAAAATTAATACCTATGTAACACAATGGAATGATTTCTATGTAGAAGTTATATCCAAGGAGAATAGTGATGACCATGATAAACCTGGGCACTTACTGAAACTGAGCGCTCATCCACGCAGTGGGATTGCTAACAAAGCCTGTGTATATTTGGAATTTCCAACCTATTTGTTTTCTGGAAGACATGAAGCAGATGTCTGCTGGGATCAGGTGTCTGTCCCCAGGCTGAGGAGTGGGAGGATGTTTATACAGTGCCATTAGGGCTAGGGTTTGCTGTGGGAAGAAAAAAA